TAGATGAGACGCGATAAATCGATCCCTGAGAGATTGATTTCTACCCGCCGACCCAGGCGGGTAGTGTAGACTAGCCCTAAGAAAGATAAGACATATATGAAGGATGGTGCAGGAGAGAGATACATATAATCAAATACATGCAATGTTTACACATATATATATTCGCATTTTCAAAAATTATAAATAAAATGAGTCAGTTACCTCCATCTGCCCCTCAGCCTAGCCATTATTGGTTGATTTCTTTAGAGGCATTACAGCAGAAGTGAATGTTGAGAAGGGATTGGTAGGGGCTGTATGCATGACTGTTTATATGAAGTTCATAATTACCAGGTTATTCTTTGCCTAGTGTTGTGTAAAATTGTACAATTTATTGAGAAGTATATTTGCAATCATGCAGCTCTTCCATTTTTACTCAAGGAGCCAGAGTCTTTATGTAGCCTCCCAGCACTGGTATACTCACTGCTTTTGGTTTATAATCCCAACAGGACTTCAACCATCCTGCTCCATTTCGTGTTTCTTTGCTAAAAGGACCTAGAGTGGGAAGAGAGTTTTTGTGACATCACAGTAGTTATGTGGTGACAAGCTGAGTTGTAATTATTTTTAAATGACCTTTTTCTGGCCTTTTTCTTGCTCTTTGTTTGCTGCTATTGAATTCAGCTTATGGAAAGCCTATACTGCATTTCTATTTTTTTCTTATAATGAAAAACTTAACCAAGAGCTATATGGGTAGAAAAAAGTGCCTAATTTTTTATTTTGCTAGAATGAAAATGTTCAAAATTGGGAAATGCCATTGTGATCAGAGCAAGATAGCACATTTCTGGAATTATAGCCCTAGAAAATGGGAACTGTGATTTTACTAATCCTGAAATTCAAGGACATATTATTGCTATGACATTGTTTCTCAAAAAAAAAACAAAAAAAAAAACCTAGGTTGTCTAAAAGAATTTTTTTCTCATGGAATCCCTCTACTAGATCTTTTTAGTTGTGACTAGGTTTATTTTGTTATTGACTAACAGTTTTAGATATGTTTGCATAAGGTATATGCTCAATAAGGGTTTGATTTGTCAAATCTTACTCACCCAAATAGTTACATACATGGGTACTTCCATTGGCTTCAAGGACAAAGGCCATGTCTACACTACCACTTATGTCGGCAAAACTTATGTCACTCGGGCATGAAAAAACCACACCCTGAGCAACATAAGTTTCGCCAGCATAAGTGGTAGCGTACACAGCACTATGTCGAGAGCTTCTCCTGCCGACGTAGCTACCACCGCTCATTGGGGATGGTTTAATTATGTCAACAGGAGAGCTCTCTCCCATTGGCGTAGAGCAGCTACATAAGAGATATTACATCGGCACAGCTGCATCGGTACAGCTGTGCTCCTGCAAGGTCTCTAATGTAGACATAACCTTTATTTGCATGAATATGGGTTGCATCAACAGAGTCAAATGCCCAATTCTGCCTTCAATTACATGTATAGCTCTCAGTAATTTTAGCTACACAGAGAACAAATGAAGGGCCAAGAGAATTTTTTTTAAATTTAGTGTCACAGCAAAGATGAATTCAAAAACATCAAACATATTGCTGACTTCCTTATGGTTACACCTACAGTGTGAAACCATTGTCAGCCTAAGCTAATCTTGAGAGGACTTTAAAGTGTCTTTAAAAAAAAATAATATCAGAAATGTGTTGACATAGTGAATTCAGCTCTGGGAAGTGTGAGAATGATGTACTGTAGTGATGTAATAAAATATAGATTTAAAGAGACACTGCAGTACAAAAACTTGAAGAAAAGATGGGGAAAGAAAAGGCTGCAGGAAACAATCTTTTTCATATGGCTTAGTATAAATTCAGTTACAATAGCTGTATCTAGGAACAGAATTCATAAACAATTTTCACTTTGGGCTGTATTACTTCAGCATTTTCGATATATGAATAATTTTGTGTAGCATAGAATGCTATATAGTGGTGGATATGGAAAAAATGCCAAACCATTTTGTTAGAAGATGGTTGTTGTAAGTCTTATATCATGACAGATTTGTTTGAAATATGCATTTTTAATCAACCGACTTGCTATTGTGCTATAGCCTAAAGAAAGAAATCACTGCAGTGCCCCCTGCTGGTGAATGGCAGCTCACTGTTTCAGTAATGTCAGTGATTGACTGAACCAAACCCATTGCTGACATAAAGCCAAGGGTGATGCTGAAGACTGCCAGTTCATTTTAAATCACATCATTAAAATAACAGAAGTATATATCAATATAAAACTACTGTTCACTGATTCCTCTTCATTTTTTAGACATGTGATGGTTTACTGCTGTTGAGTTTGGCTGAAAAAATATGAACACTTCACAAAAAAAATGTTTGTTTCTTAAACCTCTCCTGTTTTTATTCACTTGTCCCCTCCTTTTTAAATGAAAATTATCTTTCTAATTAGCAATTCAGGAAATGCTTTCAGGGTGTGAACTTTTCCATGTAACATCTTGTATATAAGCACACATTCATACTTTCAATTAAAAAAAAAGTTGTTCAATTTAATCACCATAAAAATACTAGGACTGTGTATAAACTTCATGTAATCTTTAGAGCTTGTATGTTAATAGTGGGGCAAAGCCACCAATCCATGCACAAAATGCCCATTGATTTCCCTGGGAATCTTTTTCCTGATTCTACAAAGGGAGTCCCATTGGGCGGAATAGGATGTAAGGCCCCAGTCCTACGAACACTTACTCACATAAGTCCCATTAGGACTAATTGTCCATAAATGTTTGCAGGATCAGAACTTAGGCATGCAATATGTGGCTAGAAATGCATTTCCAGGATTTTTAATTATTTTAATAAATTGAGGAATTTTTAAGTGCCATAAATGTTGCTGCTTTTATTGGTTAAGAAAAATTTAATTCCTCTGTACATCTGCAAATTCAGGAGATTTCATCTATAATCTGCCTTGCCTTTGCTTTCTCAAGACAAAATTTCCATAATGCATGATTATTAATTATATTTAATCTATAAAATTACAGTGAAGAAGATATGAAGTTTAGGTACACTTTCAAATTCAATAATGATACTATCTGCATTACTAAAGATAACATTTATCACTATTTTCACTGTCAGTCCCCCTATTTTCATAAACTCATGTGCCAGGAAAGGGATTAGTCAGGACATGCAAGCACCACAGATTGACAAGAACCAAACGGATTTTTTTTTATGGGTCCAGCAACCACTCAGCCAAAGGCTAGCAGTGGATTTTTAGTAACTTGACTGTAAAATAGTTGCTCTTAGTATAATCTTGGCATAAAATGTCAAATGATAAAATAATTTCAAAACTTTAGTTAGTTAGTTAGTTTACAATTATAGTTTTTAGATTATCCAGCTGCAGTTTCATGTTCTGATATTGGACAAATACATTGTAAGGAATTTTTTTACAGGTAGCATGTGTAGCAAATATGCAATTATAATACATAATATGCATTGGGCCATATTCTGACCACATTTACACTAAGGTTAATCCAAATGGACTCAATTGAAAATAAAGAAGTTACTTCTTATTTATCCAGCAGAACTGAGAGTTGAATTTGGCCCAGTGTGTGTGTATTATAGAAAGTTACTCAGATAAACTGCAGTGAACTTCATAAATACTTGCCAGCCTTTTAAAAGAAAAACCCATTTAAAACTATCATTTACACAATAAACAAGTATTCGAAAATGCAATCACAAATCTTTTCAAGAGATCACAAATGTGTGAAGAAAGATGGATGAATAATCTTCAAGGATTGTATTATTTAACAAAATGAAACCCACGTTTAAAAATTATGATTAAATGTCACCGTTGTGGTACAAATGGACAAAAGGCAAATAGGTTTAAAACAGTGGCACAGATCTTTCTCTTGGGAACAATAGGCACAATTGAGAACTTGTAATCAGGCAGATTTTTAAAGAACATGTCAGCCTCAACACTGAATTTCCTAACTTTTGTTGGTTCATCTTAACAATGGTTAAGCAGAACTTTTTTTTCATTTCATTGCATGTCTGAAATAGCCATTAAGGTTCAGTCATTTAAAACAGAACTCATTATATCTTTCTGTAGGACCCAGTCCTGCAAAGAAATGCAGTTCATCTGAAAAGAGCTTCTGTAGTGCATTAATATAATTGACTCCAATTTAAGCCCCTTTATGTTGCTAGGGTGGCGTAAAATGCATGAGTGTAAATGCACTTGTAGGGTTTTTTAATACTAAGCTTCATATGTTCACATTTTTGTATAACTGTGTTTAAGTTTGTAGACTAAGCATAATTAACCATCCATTACACACAACTTTTGTCTTGAAAGAGAAAAAGCAAAAAAGATTATTGATATCTTCAGAATTTGCTCTTAACCAATTTTTTTATTAGCAAAAAATATTTTAAACCAAACTTTTTTTCAAATGGTCACCTAATAAGTTGATGAATAACTGAAAGTGAAATATATGTGCAGTGGTGTTACAGCTGTATTGGTCACAGGATATTAGAGAGACAAAATGGGTGAGGTAATATCTTTTATTGGACCAACTTCTATTGGTGACAGGAACAGCTCTGAAGAAGAGCTCTGTGTATCTCAAAAGCTTGTTTCTCTCACCAACAGAAGTGGGTCCAATAAAATATATTGCCTCACCCAGCTTGTGTCTCTAGTGAAAGATATGTATATCTAACCATTTATTATGTGTGTCTAATGCTATTCCAATAAGGTTTTCTCAAAAAATGTTCCTTTACTTATAGTCTGTTCCGGCATATTCTGTAATTTCTTCTCAGGACTATTGTACCTTATTTTTTCACTACCTTAAGACTGTATACATACATTCCCTTCTGTACTCTGAATAGCAATCCTTCCAGGGAACTTTACTAAAGAGAGACATTTTTGAGATATTTCAAGTACTGTGTTTGTAATTGCTGTTGTGTCATGGTGCTGAGAAATGTTAGGGGGTGTTTTGGGAGGCTAATTTCATTTTTTTTTCTGCTTCAGCTAAAAAATTAGGAATTACAGATGTGCCCGCTGAGGTGGTTACCTTTATTTCCCATGCAACACAAAACAGATTGAGAACAGTGATAGAAAAAGTAACAATGGTAACACAGCACCGAATGGAATCGCACAAAGTAAGTATGTAGAGACGTGGTACTGAATGCTGTCCAATTATATGGTTTGAGGTATTTCAGTAATAAATCTATTCTTTCCTTTCTGAGCAGACTATAGGTGGAATATCTGCACTGTTTGTGGCATGGTTTGATCAGAATTTACCCATGCTTAATTAATGGGAGTTGGTAGGTGCCTTTCTCTATGATAGAACTTGTCCATGGAATGTTGCCTTTAAATCCCTGTAGTCTGATTATTTCAGTTAACAATACTAAAATCTCTTGTGGGACAGCAGTTAAACTGTTCCTAACTGTGGGTCATGGTTGAAATTGCTGTTTCTCAGTGCCTCATGGACATCTCTGAACCATGGTAACCACATCTTGGATTGAAATTGCTTTCCTTATGTGTAAACATGCTTTTAAAAGAGCTTATAATTCTACTTCTTGGCTGTGAGAAAAATTAGTATGTACTGTTACAAATAGAATTAGCTGAAAGGAACATTGATCCAAGTAATGAATACGTCAGAGACTACAAAGATGGGATCTTGCATACTGGGCTGAAACTGAAATGAAAAATGATAATTTTAAATCAGTTTTAAATGTTTTATAATGCATATCTAGTGTATTTTCATTAATAATGGAGGGAAATGCCACATATTTTTCTTAGACCAGCAGCCTCAAAATTCAGAGGTTCAGCACTGAATAATCAATGACATTTTCTTTGAAAATAACATTTCAAGTTAAAATTGTCCTTTGAGCCTGTTGCGTGATCGTAATTTTACAGAAAAGTGACATAATTTGGGTATCTGACACTATGAGAGCTCTGGTAAGAGACTGCAAGCTAGTTTCTGACCACTGGTAATAAATAGAAAATCTTTAACAAGCAAACCAAGTTTTTATTCCTTAACCTTAAATACTAAAGATATTTTTATGCCTGTTAAACTAGTATCAAAGCAGGCTGAAGAGGTCATGATCACAGGACAAGTGGCAATTTGGACCCCTCTTAGACCGTTTTAGGTGGACCCTTCAGGTGACTGGCTTGTCTTTCTTCACCTCCAAGATGCCACCCCATGGTCCAGTCACACTTGGACTGGCTCTCGGGGAAACCGAGGGGCTGCATCCCAACTATGTAAACGCAACAGGTCCAATTGTACTTAACTAGCATCTGCAAGACCTCATCTTTTAGGAGTCTGTGACCAGTGGCTGATTAAAGTGACTGAAATTAAACATCTTGTTTATTCGTCCAAAGGTACATAGAGGCCCAGACACCCTGCCACATCCTCTATGTGAGTCTCTAAGAGACTCATCTCCGGCCACTGCTGCTCAGTTATTCCCACCTTTTTCTCTTCCCTAGGCCAGGAAAATTAGTAGTTTAGTATGCCCTTTGATCCCAGGCTTGGGCCCAGGAAGAATAAACCTTGCTAGCATAGGCAAGAGGGTATTCCCCAATTAATAATAAATAAATAAATTAATTAATGGAGATACCCATCTCCTAGAACTGGAAGGGACTTTGAAAGGTCATTGAGTCCAGCCCCTGCCTTCACTAGCAGGACCAAGTACTGATTTTGCCCCAGATCCCTAAGTGGCCCCCTCAAGGATTGAACTCACAACCCTGGGTTTAGCAGGCCAATGCTCAAACCACTGATCTATCCCTCCCTATAGCTTCTTTCTCCTACAGCGCCTTATGTATGTCATTGTTTTGTTTCCTGTTTGTTTCCTCCCATCAACTTCCTTTACTTTAACTCCCTGCAGTAAAGCAGGATAGTATCAAGCAGATAAACAGAGGTGCAATGTGATGTTCATAAAAAATAATAGATTACTCCCTCATTCTCCATAAAAATGTCTGACGTGCTCCCGTACAGCCAGTGTCATAAATAATTGTTGAGTGCTGACGTTATGTTCATAGTCTTTTTGCCTTACTTTTGTCCATTTTATTTTTAATATAGATCTGTTTTAACTTGTGTTTTAAGCTGTAAATGTTTTTTGAAGTTCTACATATTATGACAATTTCTTGTCTACTATTTAATCATAAAATTAAACGCCACATTTTTTCAGTCAGTTAATCCATTGTTTTGATTTATTTAAGTGTGTGATACCTCTGACATTGATTAATCAGTCCATATATTTTGTATTTAAAAATATGTTAATTAAATAATTTTATCAAATACTTGTGTAGCTACAATATAACAAATAAGTCTGTTGGCTTCATTCTCTTTTTGTAATAAATTGGTGCACCATGTATATCTTGTTTTTTAACACTTAGGGAAGATTCTAAGGCATAGTAGTTTAAAAGCCTGCATGGATTTATAGCTTTATTAAGATGACTTGTTTCTTATTTCCCAGGACGATGAATGGTATGAACAGGCTACAGATGTTCGATCACAGCTGAAGTTTTTTGAACAGTTGGAGCGTTTAGAAAAGCAAAGGAAAGATGAACAAGAGAGGGAAATTTTGTTAAAGGCAGCCAAGGTACCTATTTTATTTCCTTTTTAAAAAACAAAGTGCTCTGACCCGTGTAACTTCCCCCCTTGCAAGTGCACATGCAGTAGCTTTTCACCAGTGCACGTTAGTCCACATGCTCAGGTTGGATCCCCAAGCACCTTTGCCGCCATTTGTGCTGTCATAAGCCCGATGTAATACATTCTGCTGGAAAATTTTCCCCATTAGGGATAAATTGGCTGATCTGTACTGAAACTTGAGACCAGCTCTAATACTACTAGTATTATATAAAGACATTTTCCATTTAAACAACTTTTGATTTAGAGTTTTGTAAACTGATAATGATAGTACATTGTATGTCGTTCACATAAACAAGTTATGTTAAGCAGGTATCTAGTTTAAAATTAAAAAAAAAGGAAACTCAGGTGATTAATCCACTCTCAATGCACTGGGTTATCCTGATTTAGTATAGTTATTGTAATCTGTAAAATCATTCCTGCCCTGATCTGGAGCAGTGCCAAGCACTGCAACTCCCATTGACGTCAGTGGGAGTTGTGGGTGTTCAACTTTTCCCAAGCTCAAGCTTCTGTTGTAATGAGGCCTCTAGATCTAGATGACTATGGATAAGATTTTCCAAGGAGTGTAAGAGAATTAGGTGCTTGACTCCCACTGAATTTCAACAGGTGCCTAACTCCATTATGTCCTTTTAAAATCCCAGCCTATATCTGCAGTATTTAAACACAGTGCAGTGAGCCAGTGGTGGATTTTTACTTTTAATTCTCAATTTTCAAGATATTTTGTTTCATTAATTGGCTAAATTCTGCTCGTTTGCATCAATGTAATTCTGAAGCAATACCACATGGGCATAGAATCTGTCCCAATATATGTAGAAATGTTGGTGCAGTAATTTCTAAATACCTGCATTTGTCTGATTGAATTCTGAACGTTATGATTTCACAGTTCTTCTGGGATTCAGATGGGGAGGGATGCAACACCATAATTTGCATGTCCCTAGCCTCTATTTGCCAGAAGCTGGTAGTGGATGACAGGGGATGGATCACTTGATGCCTGCCTGTTCTGTTCATTCCCGCGGAAGCACCTGGCATTGGCCACTGTCGGTAGACAGGATACTGGGCTAGATGGACCATAGTTCTTACCCTGCATGGCCATTCTTATGTACTTATTTTCACAAACACATAACTACAGCTTTTTAAAGTTTATCTTGAAGCCTGGTGCCTGTATTTTATGAGCCTATCTGTAACATATACTATAAAGATGGCTGATTTTGATACGCTCAGCATAAGATACTTCAAAGTTGTTTCTAGGGAACAGCCCTGCATTGGATTGGATATGAGGATACACTAGATGACCTAATTAGTCTTTTATGTCTCTAACTGCAGTGATTATAAGGTAATTTACAAATAGGCTTATTATTTACCCTTTGTTCTTACAATTTTAATCTTCCTAATTGTCTTTATTGCCCCTTGTATTTATACAGTTTAGTTACATATACACTATCCACAAGAGGGACAAAATGGGGGAAATCAGTACCCTTTTTAAAGAGTTGATGTTCCTAATTTTGTTCCATTTGTTCTTACAAATGAAGACTGGCCTTCAGAAAGAGCTTCTATCAATTTAAGAAATTAGTTTAAGTTAATATTTTTTAATGGGCTGAAAAGAAGAATTGACTCATTCAAATGCTTTCCTCTCATCTAAGTATCCTAACAAACTCCAGAGCTTGTTAGACTGGGTGGAAAGGATGATACTCATTTGTCTTCTGCTAACTTAAACTGCCTGTCTCTTTTTGATAAAGACTTATCATTAGTTACATTTGGGAAGAATATTTTTCTGGTTCTCTTGTCAACTGTTTTTTATTTTTAAAATAGTGGCTAAGAGAACCAGCTGGTCCAGTTTGTCACACTTTCCCCCTTTCCTAGCAGAGTTATTACTGTATGCGTGTTTCTTTTGGTTTAATTGGGATTTTAGAACTTTCCAGGAAGACATAAAACAATTTAGCCATTGCTCCTCTGAACTAATCTTTAAATTCTTAAAACACCAAAGAAAATCATTCCGGACCTGAAATGTTTCCTGATGCCAAGAGCTTTACAACTTTTCATTAATTCCAGTGTAAATGGGACATTTTATTTAAGCCCCTCATTTTCTGTGTTTTGTTTTTCATTCTGTTTTGCTTTTTGAAGTTCATATTCTTTCGCTATGTCGCATTCTCACAACAGTATAAATAGGCCTTACTGATTCTTTGAATGCAAGCCAGAAGGTATCATTATTACTTCATGTGTCATTTCCCCCAAAGTGTGCTCTTACTACTTCTTCGAGTGCTTGCTCATGTTGATTCCATGCTAGGTATGTGCGCGCCCACGTGCACAGTTGTTGGAGATTTTTGCCTTAGTGGTATCCACTAAAGGATTCCATAGTAGTAGAGCAAATTCAGAGAAAAAACGGTTACCTACCTTTTCGTAACAGTTGTTCTTCGAGATGTGTTGCTCATGTCCATTCCATTCTAGGTGTGTGTGCGTGCCCTCATGCACAGTTGTCGGAGATTTCTGCCTTAGCGTTATCCGTAGGGCCGGGCTGTGGCGCCATCTGGAGTGCCACGCTCATGCAGCGGTATATCAGGTGCTGCCAGCACTACACCCTCTCAGTTCCTTCTTACCGCCAGTGACGGGTGGTTGGAGTGCCTGGCCTTGCTTAGCAAGAGCATTAGCAGTTCTTCACTGTTTAGATCGTTCTCCTTTGTTGTTTAGTGGAGTGATTAGTTAGCTGTTAAGCGTTTTAATAGTAGTTTAGTGGTTAGAGTCCTGGCTGGGACTCCCGCTCCCCAGGCTTCGAGCGAGTTCTGAGTGCAACCAGCCGATGCACATCAGTGACCCGCACGATAGCTGTTTCAAGTGCCTGGGGGAGTTCCATAGAAAAGACGAGTGCCAGATCTGCAAAAACGTTCATCCCCAGACTCAGGAAGAGCAGGACATTCGATTGCAGGCCCTCCTAATGGATGCTGTTCTGTGCCCGGCATCAGAGCCCTCACACTCTGACTCCATGCTTCGGCATCGGCATGCAGCGCACCCCCAGCACCAGAATCTGCCTGGCACCGTTCCCCCTCACTGTTACTGAAGAAGCGGTCTAAGTCGACTGGTCCGCAGACACTGCGCAAGAAGGGAACTTCAGGCAAAGGGCTGGTGTTAGGCCTCGTTCCCACTACGGAGGCTCTCAGAGGTACCGCTGTGGTTGGACCCCCTAGCCCAGCCAGAGACCCACCTCCAACTTCAGGGAGCAGTAGGGGGTCCCAGCCCATCGCAGCGCCATCTGCGCCCGAAGTGGGCCCAGCGGCCAAAAAACAGTTAGGCCAACTGGCTCCTCAGATGCCTGGCAGATCCCACCAAGATACCAGTACCGACAATCAGGCCGGTTATGGGGCCACCCCCGAAGGTAGTGGAGTGTCTCCAGTCCCTGGAATGCAGGCATCGTTCCCCTTCACTACAGCCAAGGACCCCGGTACCGCAACCTTGGTCTCCGGCCAGGAGGCCCAGATCTCCAACACCACTGTCCCCAACAACAAGACATAGGACTCTGGAGTCGTGATGCCAATCCCCATATTCACGGTACCATCAGTCCTCCCACCAGAGATTGCCAAAGCGCCAATCACCATCGCCTTGCAGATCTCCCAGGCATTGGTCCCATCCAGTAGGGTACTGTTCCTGGTCGCAGCACCGGTCACCAGGGCCCCGCTCCCGTTCTTTGGGCAGGCACTGGCCCTCAACTTCCCCATACCGGTCTCCGACGAGGGTCAGTTGACAGACTCAGGCTTCACCAGTCCTGCCCTGGTCACCAGCAGGGCAGTGGTTCAGGTCAGAGGGCCAGTTCAGCCCTTCCCCCATAAAGGGAGAATAGTCTCCTAGCCAGGAACCCGCAAGGTGCCTTTGGCACCAGTATGGGATCAAGAACGATGGCCCGCCCAGTGGTAATACTGGAACCTGTGTCTGTGTGTGTGTGCGCGCCTGCCTGGCCTGTTATGCCGGTACCGTACTCCCACCGCTCCTCCCAGCTCCATCGGACAAGCTACCCCCGGCACATGGAGATGAGGCGGCGGCAGGGCCCTCACAAACCAATAGCGCACCTCCCCCAATGACTTCGGGGAGCACCAAGCCCTACTCAAGAGGGTTACTGCCAACCTGAAGTTGGAGGTCAAGGAGCTAGCTGAGGAGTCCAATCACCTCTTCAATGTCATTCCCTCCTCCGCCCCAGCCCGGGTCATGTTGCCCATTCACCCAGCGGTCCTGAAAATTGACAAGTCTGTATGGCAGACCCCATCTTCCATTCCACCCACATCCAAGAAGGCGGAAAAGAAGTACTATATCCCTGCAAAGGGGTTTGAATACCTGTACACGTCCCCTCCTGCGGGGTCCCTGGTCCGCTGTCAATGAGAGGGCCAGGCGAGTGGCACCCCCAAGAATAAAGATGCCAAGAGGCTGGACTTGTTTGGCAGAAAGATTTATTCGACAGCCAGCCTCCAATTTAGGGTATCTAACCATCAAGGCCTACTCGTCAGATACAATTTCAACCTGTGGGACTCCATCAGCAAGTTCAAGGAGAGTCTCCCACAGGATCGGGCTCAGGAGTTAGTCACCTTGGTGGAAGAGGGCAAGGCTGTGGCCTCAGGTGCCCTCCAGATGGCCTGGAATGCCACAGACTCAGCGTCCAGTGTGGTCGTCTCTGTGATAACCATGAGGCATAGCTCCTGGTTTCAGACCTCTGCGCTGTCCCAGGAGATGCAAACTACTCTCCAGGACCTCCCTTTTGAGGGAACGTGGCTATTCTCGGAGATAACTGATGCAAGGCTCCATGCCTTAAAGACTTACGGGCCACCCTCCGCTCCTTGGGCCTGCATACTCCTCAAAAGCCTAGTTCCGCCCCCCACCTCTCCACCGTCGTTGAGGTCTTGGGGTGCCTACAGAAAGAAGGACAGAGACAGGGGCTTTAAGCGACACCACCAGTCATCATCTTGTCCCCTGCCC